GAACGGGAACCTGAGAAGGATGCCCTTTGTCACCACTCCTTTTCAATATTGTGCTGGAAGTTTTGGGCAGAGCTATACGGCAAGATAGAGAAATCAAGGGCATCCAAATTGGCAAAGAGGAAGTGAAACTCTCTCTATTTACAGACAATATGATCCTATATATAGAAAATCCCAAAGTCTCAGTAAAAAAGCTACTAGATTACACTGGAGGATTTAACAATGTGGCAAGGTAAAGATCAACATCCAAAAATCATTTGGATTCCTCTGTGCCAATAACGACAGTGCTGAAAAGGACATCAGGAAAACAATACCATTTACAATAGCCACCCAAAGGATGAAATATCTAGGAATAAATGTAACTAGAGAAACAAAGGACCTATACAAAGAAAACTACAGAACACTACTGTAAGAAACCAAAAGAGACTTACAAAAATGGAAGTATATACCATTCTCCTAGACAGGAAGACTTAACATTGTGAAAATGTGAATACTGCCCAAAGCAATTTACACATATAATGCAATCCCAATTCAGATTCCAATGACATTCTTCAAAGAGATGGAAAAAAACAATTACAAACTTTATATGGAAAGGAAAGAGACCAAAGATAAGCAAAGCACTGCTTAAGAAGAAGAACAGGGCGGGAAGCCTCTCACTCCCTGATTTCAAATTTTATTACACGGCTACAGTGGTCAAAGAACCGACTCGACGGCACTTAACAACAACAACAACAGTGGTCAAAACAGCCTGATACTGGTATAATGAAAGATATATTAATCAATGGAACAGAATTGAGAATCCAGAAATTAACCCATCCACGTACACCCAACTGATTTTCTACAAAGTGCCTAAGTATATTGCATGAAGAGGAGATAGATGGTCTCTTCAAAAGAAGGTGCTGGCAGAATTGGAAAGCAATATGCTAAAGACTGAAACAAGACCTTTACCTCAAGTCTTATACAAAAACCAAGTCAGCATGGATTAAATACCTAAATGTGAATCCCAGAACTACAAAGGCCATCAATGAAAAAAACAGGGAAAAGTGTGAGAGCTCTAATACAGGGCATACACAGACTACCAAACATTTTGAAACTTACACAAACAAAAATAGACAAAATAGATCAGTAGAACATACTAAAAATTAAAAACTTGTGTGCATCAAAAGACTTCATCAAAAGAGTAAAAAGGGAGCCCACAGAATGGGAAAATATCTTTTGCAGTAACACATCAGAAAAGGGACTAATTTCCAAAATATATAGGAACCTACAACACCTCTCGATGGCACCTAACAACAACACCTCTACAAGAAAAGGACAAATAACCCAATTAAAAAATGGGCACAGGACACAAATAGACACTTCACCAAGGAGGACATCTGGGCAGCCAAAAAACATATGAAGAAATGTTCACTACCACTAGCCATTTTGTTGTTAGGTGCCATTGAGTTGGTACAAATCCATAGTGACCTTATGCACAGCAGAATGAAACACTGCCTAATCCTGGGCCAACCTCACTACTATTGCCACACTTGAGTCCATCGATGCTGCCACTTTATATGGCCATAAAGAGTTTTGACTAAATGAAGAGACAAATAAGGAAGGAAGGAAGAAGGGAGGGAAGGAGAAGGCCATAAAAGGATGGAAAGAAAATAAGGAAGGAGAGAGGGACCACACATATGTATAATCATTAGCTGCAGAACTGAATAAACATTTGTCTTTGTAATTCCATCTAGCCAATTCAAGCAAACATTGTTGTTGTTGTTGTTAAGTGCCATCGAGTCGGGTCCGACCCATAGCGACCCTGTACAGGGTTTCCGAGGGTGTAAATCTTTACGGGAGTAGAAAGCCTCATCTTTCTCCCTCGGAGCGGCTGGTAGTTTCGAACCGCTGACCTTAAGGTTCGCAGCCCGATTCGTAACCACTACGCTACCAGAGCTCCTTCAAGCAAACATATGCCTTACTTTTACCAAGTCTAATGCAAAAATAAGGGTATTTGACCAAAATTATCTAGATAGCAGCTATAACTTTCTAGATTCACTGTACCCATGTGGATTGTTCCTTTGGTTCCTTCAAAAAGTTAGAGATTCATGGAGAAATTTCTAGGGCTTACTGCAAATGCAAAATTCAATCCCATAAATCTGAGAGACTTTTTTACAATGTGTCTGTGGACTCATTATGTCCAGCGTTCCATGATTCTGACCAAAGTCATAATGGTTATTCGGGCAGGCTTTAGCTTAAATGCCTTTTAAGTAATATTTTAGGACCAGATTGTTATTCTTCTGCCTTAAGAGCATTGAATAAAAGTGACCAGACACATCTAAGCAAGTAGGAAGACCTGTTTTATGGGCTTTATCCCTCCAATAAGAAAGGAAGTGACAGAAGGGGGAGAGAAACAAAACTTTAAAAGAACCAAAGTGATACAAGCAATTTCTTACAGATAGTATGGCTATAGTGGTGACACCAATGAGGTTTTATGGGGGAAAAAAAGTTGTGATTAGATAGTTAGAGCTTCAAATCCTACCATAGATCGCATGAGTCAGATCTACTCAAAACTATTAACAATAACATGTTAGAATCTTCTCACAGATATTTATTAGCAATGTGAACTTGACCCATAAAAACACAAAGAGTAAGGATAGCAGCACACAGCACTCACTATTCTATTTACTCATTTTCATCCCCAACAAACTTCTGATGGTTTTTTCTATTTTATAGTTGAGTAAATTGAGACAGGGGGAGTAGGTAATGTATGAAGGTCACACAGTTAATCACTAACTGCAGAATTCACCAAACCCACTTTTCCCTCAAGCCTCAGTGAGAGAGGTTTAGGCTCCTGCCTGGTCATTTCAACCCTGAGTTATCAGACACTTGTCTTCTTTGTATCACCCATCTGCACCCTGGTAGAATGTTTCCAAACAATCTCCCCTCTAAGTATTGGCCTCCATTGAGGGCATCTAGGCATAAGGGGTTAAGCTGCAAATGCCATTATCAACTGTCCTTGATCCATCAGGGCTAATCGTAGGTGCTCATGCTGTACTAGTTCTCCTCACTGCTAACCGTGTGACTTTGTGTGGTACCCTTTCTCCATCCCAGGGAGGTGTATAAATCGCAGACTTCTCTGCAATGGAGACAATGACTGTGGAGACCAATCAGATGAAGCAAACTGTAGAAGAATTTATAAAAAGTGTCAACATGAAATGGAACGATACTGGGCGATTGACACCCTAGCCAGTGGGTAAGTGACTGTCTTCCTGTTGTGTAAATGAGAAGGCATTCAATTCAATGTAATTCCAAATACTAGAGAGGTAGGAAATTAGTACAAACAGGGTTCCTCTCTGAAAAAAGGATGGTATGTAAGTGGATGCTTCTTGATGTTCTCAATGACAGTCCTAATGTGCTCAGGGTGCATGTCCAGTGGACAGAGTTGGGCCTCACAGGAGGTGGTGTAGGGACACTAGGGGCAGAGCTATGGATGGGAGAAACAGGCTGTTACTAGATAACCAAGGTTGGACATTAATTTCAATGCCTGCTAGGTCACTGTGCTAGTGTAGACACCTAACATGCTTTACTACTTATGAAAGGTTGGCACTTGAAGTCCACACAAAAAAACCTTAGAAAAAGGTCTGGTAGTCTCCGTCTGAAAAATCAGCCATTGGAAACTATGGAGCACAGTTCTACTTTGACACACATGGAGACACCATGAGTCAGAATTGATCTTCTAGCAACTGGTTATGTGACTGTTGGGTACATCATTGTTTCTATCATATTAAAAACCTAGGGAGGCCCTGCGTATGTCCTGGCTGAGAGGAAAAGCTCATAAATGATTAATGAAGTAATGGATTTCCACGATGGGACTGGAATTAATCTGTGTTTCAAACTTCATAGGATCTCTGAGTTGGTCTGATCCTCTGGCTATAGCAGAAGAATAAGATGATTATTTTGAGGTCAGAAATTATGATATACTATGACTATGTTATGGTTGTTGTTAAGTGCTGTTGAGTTGATTCCAACCTGTAGCGACCTTTTATAGGGCTTCTGAAGAGTGGCTGGTGAGCTTGAACCACAAACCTTGTGGTTCAAACCAAGTTAACAGTCCAGTGCATTAACCCACAGCACCACACCAGGACTATGAATATGTACACTGCCATCTCCATCCTATTTTGCTTCCAAGTTCTGTAGCTTCTCAGGTTCCAGGTGGAAGAGTGAAACTCTTTGCTCATATGTTTTAAGATTCCACTGTATTTGACACAATGTAAGAAGAAGAACACAGTGGCCTTGAATGTATCCACCCCTTTCCAAACAAAAATCAGATCTTTATCCTTAGACAGAGACACTTCATGTGGGGCCTTCTTTTAGTACGGCCTAAAATGCCAGTTACAGTAGTATGATCTCCCAGAAAAGTTAAGTGAGTTTCCAAGAGACATTCAACTAGAAGTTGGGAAAGCAGAGGATCAGATGAGATCAGAGTCTAACTAAAACCTGTACACAGGGTCCGAAGAAGCAGCTCACTGGCCAGGAGACTTCTGATGAGGCTTATATTGATGTGGAACTTTAGCTTTGTTACTTGAAGAAAACAACCAGTAGTACATTTCTTTCTATGTTCTGTCATCAATTAGTCAGAGACAGCTATGTGCTGGGAAAAAATGCAGACTCTGGAAGCAGACCACCAGCCTTCAAATCCTGGCCTCACCAATTGCTGTTAGGAGTGAAGCCATGGGCTAGTCAACTGACCTCCCTATGGCTCTATTTCTTCATCTGTAAAATGGGGATAATAAAAATACCTATCTCCTAAGGTGGCTTACAAGAAGCTCATAGTGGTTATGAATCGGGCTGCTAATCTCACAGTCAGCAGTTCAAAACTACCAGCTGTTGCGTGAAAGAAAGATGAGTTTTTCTGCTTCCATAAAGATTTACAGCCTTGGGAACCCTGTATCAGGTTGTTATGGGTCAGAACCAACTCCATGGCACATAACAACAGCAACAAAGGTGACTTACAGTGTTGGTGTGGCTCTGCAGGTTAATGTGTTGGATTTTAAAGTCGGCTTGGACCACAAGGTCATTGGTTCAAGCTCACTAGTCACTCCCTGGAACTCTTTACAGGGTGGCTATGAGTTGGAACCGACTTGATGGCACTTAACAACAAAAACAACAAAGTGGCTGACCAGTACCACCAGTTGCTGTCTAGTCAATTCCCATTCATGGCAACCCCGTGTATAACCTTGGAAGACTAATCTGGTGATCTATTTCTGAAAGGACACAAATTTGAAAAGCCAATGGTACATACATGGGGTTGAATTATAATTTTGGTAGCAATGGTATTATCATTATGGCAATATCGAAATTATCATGGGTTTCCAGAAGAATGAACAAATCTGCCTTTTAAAAAGTATAGTTGAATACTCCTTAGAATCAAGTATGGTAAGACTTGGGCTCATGCCCTGGAGAAAGACATCATGCTTGATAAAGTAGAGGGTCAGTGAAAGTGAGGACAATCTTCAACAAGGTAGACTGACACAGTGGCTACAACATTGGGCAGAAACATAATTGTGATGATGGCACAGAACTAGGCAGTTTTTCGTTCGGTCGTACGTAGGGTTGCTGTGAGTCAGAACCAGCTTGAAGGCACCAAAGACTGACACATTTAATCCTTACAACAGCCAAGTGATAGAGGTAGTTTCATAGTGCCCATTTCACAGATGAGAAGACTGAGACACATAAAAGTTAACTGGTTTGCCCCAGGCCTCATAGCTAGTAAATGGCAGGATTGTGATATAAACCCAGACATCTGGCTCCATGGTTCCAGCTATGAACTATTACGCTATTTCATTCTTATAAATAAAGTGTAATGAATGCATGAAAGGTAAGAAGAGAGTATTAGAGGGCCTCCTGGGGTGGTGCTGTAAGATCAGCACTGAACTGCGAACCACAAGGTCAACAGTTCAAACCCATCAGCTGCTCCTGAGAAACCCCATGCAGGGTCGTTGTTAGTCAGAACCGACTTGACAGCACTTACTACAGTAGAGCGTGGGTGGGGCTTTCAGGTATGAGATATGTCAGTGAAACCTTCCCACAGCTTCCTACAACAGTGAAGCCTCAATCTTGAATGACTGGTAGGAAATAAAACAATGACAAATTGAAAGGGCATTCTACGTACATGGACTATTATCTGAGGAAAAGCAGATTTGAGGAAGAACACATTTCTCTAAATGACCGGGGACTATGGTCTCAGATTGTAGTTGGAGATGACCAGGGATAAAGCAGGAATTTATCTAGCTTGGGACCAGATAATTGGGGGCCTTGATTGCTATGCTAAGGAATTTTGATTTCATTCAGTAAGATTCTGCCATCTGAAATGAAACATCCAGTAAAACTGACCACATCACCCACTCTGTGCCTTCTGTGCAGGTTAAATTTATTTACAAACAGTCTGGAGGGCCCAGTTCTAGATCACAGGTATTATGCTGGTGGATGCTCCCCACACTACATCCTCAACACAAGGTTTAGGAAGCCATACAATGTGGAAAGCTACACCCCGGAGGTAAGTACCAGCCAGGAAGCAACTGCAGCACAATGAAGGGAGTACTGGGTAGGAAGTCAGCTAATGTGGATTCAAGGCTGGACCCTGCATCCTTCTAGCTGTGTGTTCTTTGATGCATCACTTTTTCTCTTAGCGCTTCAATTTCTTCATATGTGAAATGGGTGGTCCCTTCCACAGGACAGTGTGGTGAGGATGAAATGCTAAATGTAACAATGGTGTGTATGTGTGTGTGTTAAGTGCCTTTGAGTCAGTTCCAACTCGTAGCAACCCGATAAAGGGTTTCCAAGGAGCAGCTAGTGGGTTTGAACTGCTGGCTATGTGGTTCAAAGTCCAGTGCTGATCCTACAGCACCACACCTATAATGGTAGGATAGTATAATAGTATAGTATAGTAATAGTTATAGTTGCAGTAATAATAATAGTAATACTAATACTAGTAATAATATCACTAGTTACCATGGGGATAAGAGTACAATTTGGGATTCAGAGTCACACAAATTCAGTGCCATCTATCATTTAGCACTGGCATCATCTTAAATGTTCTGAGCCTCTATTTCTTTCTTTTTAAATTGGGAAATATAAAGGTTCTACCCTTCAGGGGGAGGATTAGTGGAGACAATAATGTGTAAGTGTTTTTCACAGAACCTAGTGAGTTCTCAAGAAATATTATCTTGTTGCTGTTATTGTCACATTATTATTATTAACAGGTTCTTGTCTATTAGAACCAGGCATTGTTCTTACCATTTTAAACTGCAAAATGCTCTTTCAGTATAAGCCTGTAGTATGATTAGCATGCCAACTTCAAAAAAAGAAAAAAAAAAATCTCACAGGGAGTGGATTTTGAGTAGACTATCTGTGGATACTGTACTGGAATGCAAGGTTGGTTTGAACTGCAAGGTTGACTGTTCAAATTCACCAGCTGCTTCTCGGAAAACCTTTACAAAGTCTCTATGAGTTGGCACCATGTCAAAGGCACCTGACAACAGTAACAACATATTACTATAAGGACTCCTGGCGTGGCACTGTAGGATCAGCACTGGACTGAGAACCACAAGGTCAGCGGTTCAAACCCACCAACTGCTCCTCAGAAACCCTATACGGTGTCACTATGAATCAGAGTCGACTTCACAGCACTTAACAACAACATATTACTCTAAAGAATCCTGGTGATGCTGTGTGCTAAGCATTAGTCTGCTAACCATAAGGTCGGTGATTCAAATCCACCAGCTGCTCCATGGGAGAAAGATGATGCAGACTGCTCCCATATAGATTTGCAGTGTCAGAAACCCTAATTAGGAGTTCTTCTCTGTTTGATAGGGTTGTTCTGAGTCAGAATAGACTCTTTGGTAGTAGGGTTATTACTATATAACACACACATTTGAGGTCTGATGAGAAAAGTTCACAATGAAGACATTTGGGTCTAAGCCTGGCTCTGCCATAGATCACGGTTAGATTTTCTCTTCTACTTGAACTTCAGTTCCACCATCTTTACAGATGAGGGGGTTAGATTAGAGGACTTTGATAGCAGTTTTGAACCTAAAATTCCATAGTTATGATGATTAAGCAAATAACTTTCCCCCACCCGTGACACACACTCACTGGTCCAAAAGAATAAATTAGCTCAGGACCAAACCTAGCTTTTGGCAAAGCAAAGATTCCTCAGTCTTTCATGTTTCTACCAAGTGCCCGGTGCCATATCTGCAGCCTCCTCTTCCCAGGATAGCTTAGAGCAGCCATTCACCATCCAGGTTAAATCAGCTCCTAACCAATCAGGATACATATCTTAAGTCTCCTCTCTTCACAGCCAACTATTTCTGAGCACTTTCTGTGTGCATAGGATCCCTGGTAGTGCAACAGTTAAGTGTTTGACTGCTATCTGAAAGATTGGCAGTGTGAACCTACCCAGAGAATCTGAGAGAGAAAGATTGCTCACGTAAAAATTATAGCCAAGGAAACCTGGGGTGGGGAACGTGGATAGGGAGCAGCTTTACTGTGTACACACAGGCTCACCATGAATCAGAATCAACTCAGTGGTACCCACCAACGATAACTTTCTTCCAGACGCTGTGCCAATGCATACATGGCTATATAAACACAATTCTCAGGTAAAGCCTAATGCTGCTGCTGTTGTTAATTGCTGGCAAATTGATTCTGATTCATAATGACTCTGTATAAGGTCTCCAAGATTGGCTGATGGTCAATCTTGCATTACCAGTCTAGTGCTTACCCTATAGCACCACACCAGGGCTTCATGGGTTATTTCTCCATTTTACACATATTATCTTCTCCATTGCACACACAAAGAAGCTGAGACATAGACACATCAATTGCTCAAGGATATCCAACAAGAAAATGGAAGTGTCACTGCCAAGTTTAGGAAGCCTTCTCCAGACCACACTCTGAGACTTCTGCTTCCTTTTCAGGGCAGCTGAGGAGCTGTGCCCTCTTCTGGGGATTATAGGTAACTAGAAGGCAATGGGAGTAGGAATGGAGATGGTTAAGACTAGTCAACCCATCATCACTGAGGCAGTACATACTTCCCTGGTGCCTGGGACAATGCAACAGCAAACCATTCTTCTAAGTTATTTCTAAGAACTGTCACTTTGTCACCACTGCCACTGGCCTTTGTAACTTTTTCATTGACTTGTCTCTCTGACTCCAAATTCATTCATCACTTGTAGTCCAGTCACCATACTACCCAGAGTGATCTTTGTAAGATTCAGTGAGTTTCTCTCGTTAGTCACCTTTGCCTACATGGTCAGTGAGGAATTCAAGAGCCTCAACATTTTGAGAGAGTGGAGAGGTGTTACAGGAGAATGTATTGGCATCAAAATGTTGAGGCTCTCGATCCTGGAATTCAACCTGCTCTTTCTCACCTTCATGTCTTTCCTTAAGCTGAGCTCACAGACCAGAATATTCTCCAGAATTTCTGACATTTAAAATCCAAATCAATCAATCCTCTGAGCCTAAACTCAACAAGTTTACGTATGTATGTCTCTGGGTTGGTGTCCCTGGAGACGCAAACAGCTAATGTACTCAGTTACCAAGTAAAAGGTTAGAGGTTTGAGGACACCCAGAAGTATCTCAGAAGAAAGTCCTGTGCATCTACTTCTGAAAGGTCAGCCATTGAAAACTGTATGAAGCTTTAGTTCTAATCTGACACACATGGGGTTGTTATGAGTAGAAACTGACCTAACAGAAAACTGGTTTTCTTACTAAATCAACAGGGAGACACAGAGGAAGGGGGACAAATTGTCGTTGTTGTTAAGTGCCATCAAGTCAATTCAGACCCATACCGACCCTGTATAGGGTGTCCAAGGAGCAGCTGGTGAGCTTGAGCTACCGACCTTGTAGTTCAAACGACTTTGAAGTCTGACACATTAGCCCACAGCGCCACACCAGGACTTGGACCTTGTTTATTTGTAACCACAGTCTGGCACATAGTAGTTTATGAAGGATATCTGCTGACTTGTACTGAACTGACATGAATTGAAAGAAATAAGAAAGATTCTAATTTTTTTTTTTTTATCCTTTTAGACCCAAGGCAGATATGAATTTGCACTGACAGAATATGAATCGTATGCAGATTTTGAGCACAATATCACAGAGAAAACAACTGCCATGTCTAGTTTCAGCTTTGGTTTTAAAATACCTCTATTATTTGAACTGCGCTACGGCTTGACAAGTTCTAATGGCAAACACTTTATTAGCAGAATCAAACAATTCGCTCATACTGTAAGTATGCTTTTGTGTCCTTTATATTTATGTGGATTCATTTGAAATTTCATTCCTACAGATGAGTCTGTATTCCACATTGTTACTAATGACCCACTGAATTTCTGTTGTCTTGAAATCCTTTTGACAAAAAAATAGCTCTTTCTTATATTAATTCATTTTTAAAGAGGCCAAGCAGCCTTCTCTAAATGGCCTTCTATAATTTCTTTCTCTCATTTTCTTATAAGCGGTTTTCCTATTTTTTTCATTAAGCTTAAAGTTACAGAATTGTCAAACCAAAATATCTGTGGAGAGTTTTCCGCCCACAGCATTGTGAATTCTGTCTCAAACATTTGTCTGGAATTCCCCTCTGGGACGTCACCAAAGAACTATTCTCCAACTTCTTCCGGGTCTTGTCGGAGTTGACCACAGTCAGTCTACTGTTGCTCCTGCTTTCCTTCTGCTCCCTATTACTCCCCTTCCTGAGTTCTAGAATCCCTGGCTGTGGTGTAAATATTTCATTTATAGCCCTCTCCCCTTCTTTCCAGTTAACCCTGGTGACATCTTCTACTTTCCATCTCTGCAGGCATGAGGCATGAACCTTCTTCACTGATTCTAACCGCTCTCTCAGACTCTACACCTGCACTCTCTTGGCATCATTGCTGGAATTAAACTCACTCCAAAGCAAGTTCTTCCTCTTACATTTTCTGTGTTAATAGCATTTTTCCAAGCCAAGAATCACAGAGTTATATCTGGCTCATACTTCTGCTTCAATTCCACATCTATTGGTCACCAAAACCATCAGTCATTATCTCTGAATATTTTTAAATCTAACTTCTCTTACATTTTTGACCAACCCAGGTTCTTTTGCTCCTGCATGTTTCTTCAACTTCCCCCTTCAAATCCATCTGCTGCCATTTTCTATAATACTAATTTAACCATCCCATTGGCTCCCTGGTGACTACAATAGGTTAGGGGAAAGAGGAGTCATTGGAGTGGGAAGTAGTGAGATATGATATTGGAGAAGCCTTGAGTTCCAAGGTGGGAAAGGTCTGTGTTAGTCTCTAACCACTGAGAGTTATCAGTATGGTGTAAGATGATGGGAAATTAATCTGGGAGAGGAAGTGGAAACTCTGAAGAGAATAAAAGGAAAGTCTACAGTGATTCACAGGAGGAAAAAGAATGGTGATGTTTCAAAAAGGTTTCTGCTGCCTAAATGATTAGATTGTATTGTCTTGAATTGACTTTATTTTCTAGGCTGTGAGTTCCTAGGCAGAGGGTGCTTTATTCATGTAGCATAGTGGTTATGAACCGAGCTGTGAACCGCAAGGTCAGCAGTTCAGAACTACCAGCTGTTCCACGGGACAAAGATGAGGCTTTCTGCTCCCATAAAGATTTACAGCCTCAGAAACCCTGTGCAGGGTTGCTATGAGTTGGAACCGACTCCATGGCACATAACAACAATAACAACACACTCAGAAGAGGAGTTCTAGTAGCATAGTGGCTACGAGTGGGTTGCTAACCTCAAGGTCAGTAGTTCAAAACTACCAGAGGTTTCATGGGAGAAAGATGAGGTTTTCTGCTCCCGTAAAGATTTACAGCCTCAGAAACCCTATATAGGGTTGCTATGAGTCGGAACCGACTCCACGGCACACCACCACCACCAAACTCAGAAGGGCACTTAGTAGGTACTCAAAGGTGAAATACTGTGATGAAGGTTAGGCCTGGCTAGAAGCAAAGCAAAAGGTATCATCTATTTACTCCTTCAGTGTCTCCTACTCTCTCCCTCCCTTACCACCTCCCTGCTTCAAACAGACAGTTATAGGGTTCTTCTCTTGTGCCGGCACTATACTAGACACTTGAGACCAAAAAACAAATAAATATAATTTTTGCCTTCAAGCTACTTGTTTACTTCTCCTTACTATATTCCATTACCCATTCCATTGTTATGTTGTTGTTGTTAAGTGCCGTCGGGTCGATTCTGACCCATAGTGACCCTGTATAGGGTTTCCAAGGAGCAGCTGGTGAGCTTGAACCACCAACTTTGTAGTTCGAATGACTTTGCAGTCTGACGCATTAGCTCACAGCGCCACACCAGGACTTAGGTGCCATCAATTCAGCTCTGACACATTGCCAACCCTACGTAAACCAGAACAAAACACCAAAACATTGACATCCTCATAATTGTTGTTACATTTGAGCCCAGAGTTGTTCATTTTTTTTCATCATTTATAACACAGCATAGTTGTATACTTTGTAAAGGAAATATAAGAAGGTACCATGTGCCTAGGGAAATCATGGATGATATCAAATAGGAGTGGAGACATGGGTGGTTCTGTACTAGAATTCTTTCTTTCTATGAGGGAGATCTAGATTCAATTCCCAGAAAACGTACTTTAGGTGTTGTCACCACTATTGTATCAGTGGAGGCTTGAGTGTTGTTAGGATGCTGAAGAAATTTCAGTGAAGCTATCAGATTAAGATGGACTAGGAAGATCTACTTTTGAAAATCAGCCCATGAAAACCCTTTGAATTATGATGGTCCATTCCACAATCAATCAGTGGGATGGTCCAGGACCAGGCAGTATTTTTTTCTGTTGTGCTGCATTCTCTATGAGTCGAGGGCCAATTCATTGGCAGTTAACAACAATCAAATTAGAGGTAACTATTGAGCAGGGGTAAGTATGTATGTGTCAGTCAGAATAAAGAGGACAGGGCATTTCAGGCAGAAGAAACAGCACATGCAAAATTATTTCATAAAAATTAACACAGATTTGGGAACCATGAGAATTAAGTGAATGCCAACATATCAACACTTTTAGAATTAGCAGTAAGAAAATAAAATGGTATATTACATTAGATAAATCTGCTGCATAAGACCTCTTTAAAGTGGTCAAGAGTAAAGATGTCAGTTTGAAGACTAAAGTGCACCTGACCCAAGTCATAGTATTTTGATATACTTGTGAAAGTTGGGCAGTGAATAAGGAAGACCGTAGAAGAACTGATGCATTTGAGTTTTGGTGTTGGAAAAGAATATTAAAAGTACCATGGACTTCCAGAAGGACAAACAAAGCTGTGTTGGAAGAAGTTCAGCCAGGATCGCCAGATTTCAGATGGATCTTTGTTGATGGAATAATGTTTGCCTGCACTTTATTGACCACGCAAAGCCTTTTGACTGTGTGGATCATGACAGGTTATAGACATCATTGAAGAGAATGAGTATTCTGGACCACTTAATTGTGCTCACGAAGAACCTGTACATAAGCCAAGAGGTAGATGTTCTAACAGAACAAGGGAGCACTGAATGGTTTTAAATCAGGAAAGGTGTGTGCCCGGGTTATATGCTTTCATCATACTTATTCAATGTATATGCTGAGCAAATAATCTGAGAAGTTGGATTATATGAAGAAAAATGTGGCATCAGAATTGGAAGAAAACTCCTTAATAACCTGCAATATGCACATGATACAACATTGCTTGCTGAAAGCTAAGAGGACTTAAAATACATACTGATGAAGATCAAAGACCCCAGCCTTTGGTACAGGTTGTATCTCAATGTAAAGAAAACAAAACGTGGTGCTAATAACATGTATATAAATGGAGAAAAGATTGAAGTTGTGAAAGACTTCATTTTGCTCAGATCAACCACCAATATTCATGGAAGCAGCAGTCAAGAAATCAAACAATGTATTGAATTGAACCTATACCATGGTATTTTCAACAGCCTCCTATGCACGTGAAATTTAGACAATGAATAAGGAAGATCGTCGAAGAATTGATACATTTGAATTATGATGCTGGAGAAGAATATTAAAGGTTCCATGGACTAACAGAAGAACAAACAAATCTGTGTTGGAAGAAGTACAACCAGAATGCTTCTTAGAAGCTAAGATGGCCAGACTTTGTCTCTCATACTTTGGACCTATCATCAGGAGGGACCAGTCCCTAGGAGGCCATCATGCTTGGCAAAGTGGAGGATCAGAGAAAAAGAGGAAGAGCCCCAATGAGATGGATTGACATAATGGCAGCAGCAATGGGTTCAAGTGTAAGAGCAATTGTGAGGATGATGTAGGACTGGGTAATGTTTTGTTCTGTTGTACAGAGGGTAGCTATGGGTTGGAACTGACTTGATACCATCAAATAACAATAATAATACCTACTGACTTCTATATGGATGGCACAGTTAACACACTCAACTGCTAACTGAAAAGTTGGAGTGTTGAGACCACTAAAGGTGTCTTGGAAAAAAGGGCTGGTTTTCCTCTTCCAATAATATTCCATCCATAAAACCCCTATGAAACAGAGTTCTACTCTGATACACACATGGAGTCTCCATAGTTGAAATTTACTTGACAGAAACTGGTAGTGGTGGTTGTAAACCTGCCAGCTGGTAGTGAGTTATTTCCAACTCATTGTGACTCCATGTGTGTCAGAGATAAACTGGGTTCCAGTGCCAGGATTTTCTTCCAAAGCATCCTGGATGAACTTGAACTTCTAACTTTCAGTCATCAGACAATCATGCTCACTGTTGGCACAACCCAGGGACCTCTGGTTATATTAATACTGCCTGAATACTTCATTTCACTTTATCATCTTTTAGCCTATCCAGGGGTAGATTGCCCAATACGCAAGTTAAGCCTAAACTTATTTGTATTTATTTATTAGTCCGCAGTGAACAGTTCCACATTTTTTTCACCACATCAAAGATTCTACTTCTTGGTATAATTGGCACCTATCTCTCTCCCAACCCCACAACACCTTCTTACAGAATCAAAGTCTCTTTTCAAATATACAATTCCTGACAGGTACGGAATACCCAGTCAGCAAGGTAAGTACAGCTTACTTGTGCTTACTTATTAATCTGTAGTGAAGTTTCACATGTTTTTCAGCACATCAAAGATGTGAAATTATCCACTACAGATTATCAAGTAAGCCCATGCTTACCTTTCTTATTGAGTTACCTGCTCCTGAGTCTATACCATTCAACTTTTTTTTTTCTGTAAACATTAATTAGGAATAAATAGCAAATATTTTAGACTTGTCAGGACCTTGGGTCTCTCTTTTATCTACTTCATTGTTGTTTTCATTGGAAAGGAACTATGTAAATGAATAGAGGTGGAGTGTTTCAGTACCTTTTTTTTTTTTTTTTAAGAGAAACGGGTGGGTGGTAGCTTGCTGATTCCTGTCCTACAGTATCACATTTAGCCTTCCTAAAGTACTGTTTCTAAGTTTCTTCAGTGGCTTTTCTTTATGGAGTTTAATAGGCATAAACCAAGGTTGCCTTTGTAGATTAGCAAACTCTAGACAAATGATTCCTTGGTGGCATCTCATTAGAGCAATTTCATGTGCTTCCGTTACTCTCTACCAATCTGTTTCCAGTTCCCCTTCACATGTCTTATTCGCTGCTGTATGGAGGGGAGTTAAGAGCAAATTCTTCCAGACTGACAAGGACGCCGGAATATTTATGAGAAATGAGACCCTCTTCCCTATGTATCCTAAAGGAATCCTAAGCATGATGACCCCAGGCCAAGAACATCACATGGTATTTGTAAAGTTCATCATCTCGTTCCAGATTCCTAACTTTAAAGGTCTGGTTTTCCCATGTTGGTCTTTCATTTAGAAAAGCTCATTTCTACATGCACGCTCTGACCTTGAAGTCGCACATTACAAGCTGAAGCCCAGAAGCCTCATGCTCCACTATGAATTCCTTCAAAGAGTCAAGCAACTACCCCTGGAGTATAGCTATGGAGAGTACAGAGATCTCTTCCGCGATTACGGGACTCATTACATCACAGAGGCTGTGCTGGGGGGCACTTATGAGTACACTCTCATCTTCAACCAGGAGGCCATGGAGAGAGCAGGTATAATTCCCAGGCAACTCTGGCTTTTCTGGTGGGGCAGACACAAGCTATGAGTTTATGGGAGAGCCTCCATTAGTTGGTGGGGGAAAGTCTTTGGTTGTTCTAGTTTTCCTTCCACCAGGAGCCCTGGAGGCATATTGGGTTATTGGGTTAGACTGTTAACCACATGGTGGTTCAAACGCACCATGGCAGTTCTACTCTGTCCTATAGGGTCACATGAGTTGGAATCAACTTGATGAGGAGTGGCTGGTGGAAGAATTTTTTTTTTTTTGGGGGGGGGGGGGTTGCGGCAGGGGTTTCCCCTGGCTACGCTTTGCTGTCTCATCTGCAGATTCTTCCTTCTCTTCTTGATGTGACTCTCTGTCTGAGTTGCTTCCTCTCTTCTACAAGTACTCCTCTGTCTCATTCAATCTCATGACTTAAAATACTTTCTACCTGCATATAACTCCCAATCTATACATTCATCCTTGTCTTTGTTTTCTAGTGCTTCTATGAGAGAAATACCACAGGTGAGTGACTTTAATAAATAGAAATTTGTATTCTCACAGGTTAGAGGCTACAAGTGCTAATTCAGGGCACAGGCTATAGAGGAAGGCTCGCTCTTTGTCCACTTGGGAGAAAATTCTTGCTTCAGCTTCTCTACCTTTGGTGTTCCTCAATTCCTTCTTGATCTACATTTGGCTTCTATCTTCTCATATGTTCTCACTTGCTTTAGTACCCAATCTGCTCTTTTACATCTCAAAAGTGGTTACCTTAAGACTTATCCTACACTGTTATAACCTCATTAACACAACAAAAGAAACACTATTCTCATCCAGGGTGACAACCACAAGTATAGAAGTTAGGACTTAGAGTACACATTTTTTAGGAAAACAATTCAATCCAGACAGCTTCCAGTGGCACTTCCAGACTAAGAATAGATTGCTGTTGTTGTTTAGTGCTGTCAAGTCAGTTCTGACTCATAGTGACCCTGTGTAGGGTTTCCAAGGAGCTACTGGTGGGTTTGAATTGCCAACTTTATGATTAGCAGTCAAGTGCTTATCCTACAGTGCCACATCAGGACTTCAAGAACAGATTGTTATTGTTAAGTGTCTTTGAGTTGGTTCCAACTCATTGTGACCCTGTGTAGCTTTTCCAAAGAGTGGCTGGTGGAAGAAGGAATAGGTAGGCAGTTCATTTCTGAGGGACTGTTGTCGATTTAGGGGCCATGGAGTCACTTCCAACCCATAGCAACCCTATGCACAACAGAATGAAACAGTGTCTGGTCTTACACTGTTCTCACAACTGTTGTTATGTTTGAACCCAATGTTCCTGCCACTATGCCAATCCCTTTTGTTGGGGATCTTCCTCTTTTTCATTAGCCTTCATTTTCCAAGTAGGATGTCCTTCTCCAGAGTCCTGACATGCCCAATGTAATGAGAGACTAAAGGAATTAGCCATTGAAAATCTTATGACTAGCAGAGAAATGTTGTCTGATATAGTGCTAGATTGTTGTTGTCAGAAGCGACTCACAGCGACCCCATGCACAGCAGAACGAAACAATGTCCAATACTGGGCCAACCTCACTACTGCCACCACACTTGATGCCATCAATGATGTCACCTGGCTGATCCATCTCGTTGGGGGTCTTCCTCTTTTTCTCTGACCCTCCACCTTACCCAGCATGACATCCTTCTCCAGCGACTGTTCTCTCCGGACAATGTGTGCTAGATAAGCCCCTCAAATACTCAAATACAAATCAAAGTAGACTTGACCGTGATGATGTGTGTGGAGCAAAACTTTTAGGATCTTTATTTTCTGATATATGACTCAACATGAGAAGAAACCACTGCAAACATCTATTAATAATCAAATTGTAAAATATACAAAGCATGAATCTATGAAAACTTGAAATTTTCAAATATCAAATGGAATGCATAAAATCAATATCCTAGGCATTAGTGAGCTGAAATGGGCAAGTATTCATCACTTTGAATCAGAAAATCATATGGTTTACTATGCTTGGGAATGACAAATTCAAGAGGAATAGTGTCACATTCATTGTCAAAAAAAGAACATTTCAAGATCTGTCTTAAAGTACAGTGTTGTCTGTGATAGAATAATATCCATACTCCTACTAGAAAGACCAGATCACACAATTGTTAAGATTCAGTTATTCAAATGTACACTACACCCACCCAAACCAGTGGATGTCAGAAGAGGCACTGAAGCCTGCTTTTGAAGATAGAATAGCAGGAGCAAATAATAGAACTGATAGTGTAGAAAGAGCTGAACAAAAATTTTCAAAGGATAGCTTGAGAATACAAAATTGAATATTATAATGAAATGTGCAAAGACCAGGAGTTAAAAATCAAAAGAAGACCATGTTCAGCATTTCTCAAAACTGAAAGAACAGAAGAAAAAAAAAATTCAAGTCTCAACTTGAAAATTGGAAGGATCCTGTGGACAAAATATTGAACAATGCAGGCAACATCAAAAGAAGACCAAAGGAATGCATTGTAACAAAAAGAACTGGCCAACATTCAACCATTTCAAGGGGTAGAATATGATCAAGAACCAATGGAAATGAAGGAAGAAGTCCAAGCTGCACTGAAGGCGTTAGTGAAAAACTAGGCTGTAAGGTTTGACAGAAAGGACCCCTGGTGGCATAATGGGTTATGCATTGGGCTGCTAACCACAAGGCTGGTGGTTGTAATCTACAAGCTGCTCAGCAGAAGAAAGAGGAGGTTTTCTACTCCCATAAAGATTTACAGCCTTGGAAACCCTATACAGGGTTGCTATGAATCAGAACCTACTTGACAGCACATGACCAGGAATTGACAGAATACCAATTGATATGTTTCAATAAACTGATACAGCGCTGGAAGGACTCACTCATCTATCCCGAAAAATATGAAAGACAGCTCTAGCCAACCAAGTGAACGGAATCCATATTTGTGCCCATTCCAAGGAAAGGTTACCCAACAGAATGCAGAAATTAGGGAAGAGCACTGGAATGCAAAGTCAGTTTGAACCACAAGGTCAGTGGTTCAAGCTCACCAGCTACTCCTTGGAAACCCTATACAGGGTCTTAATGGGTCAGAACCGAATCAACAGTACTTAACAACAACAACAATCATTAATATAACACACAAATAAAAAGTGTAGCAGCACATTGATTTCTGAATCTGGCCAGGAATCCAAGCAAGATTCAGAAGAGGATGTGGAACGAGGGATATCATTATTGATGTCAGGTGGATCTTGGCTGAAAGAAGAGAATACCAGAAAGACAGCCATGCTTTATTGACTCTGCATTCTGTGTGGATCCTATGTAACCAAACAACATTGGGAAAAATGGAAATTTCAAAACACTAAACTGTGCTCTTATGGAACTTGTACAAAGATCAAGAACATGGGGATACTGCATGGTTTAAAATTAGGAAAGAAGTGAGTTAGGGTTTTACCCTTTCACCATATTTATTCAACTGTATGCTGAGCAAAAAATCCAAGAAACTGTACTGTATAAAGAAGAATGTGTCTTCAGGATTGGAGGAAGACTCATTAACAACATGCAATATGCAGATGACACAACCTTGCTTGCTGAAAGTGAAGAGGATTTAAAGTACTTAGTGATAAAGATAAAAAAAAATGCCTTCAGTGTGGATTGAACTTCAATATAAGGAAAAGAAGCATCCTCACAACTGGACCAGTAGACAACATCATGATAACAGGATTGAAGTTGTCAAGGATTTCATTTCACTTGGATACATAATCAGTGCTCATGGAAGCAGCAGTCAAGAAATCAAAAGGCATATTCATTAGATGAATTGCTGCAAAAAAACTCTTTAAATGTTAAAAAGCAAAGATGTTTGGCTTTCTGGCAGTTTTTTGTGAATGTACTGTTGCAACTATTTTTTAATTATCTTCAGCAAAATTTCACTGATTTGTGATAGTAATAATATTGTTCAATGATTTCTGCATTCTGTTGGGTCACTTCTCTTTGGAATGGGCAAATTGGTAGCCCCAGTCACTGTCTTCCAAATTTCTTGTCATAAATGAATGAGTGTCTTAAGTGCTGCATCAATTTGTTGAAAGAATTCAACAAATTGTTTTGTGTTTGGTCGATTCCTGGAGTTTTCTTTTTTGCCAGTGCCTTTAGTGCAACTTGGCCTTCTTGCCTTCAGTACCATTGGTTCTTGATCACATGCTATCCCTTGAAATGGTTGAATATCAATCATTTCTTTTTGGTACTCAGTGTATTCCTTCCATCTTCTTTTGATGTTTTCTGCATCATTTAACATTTTGCCTAAAGAATCCTTCAATATTTCAAGTTGAGGACTACATTTTTTCTTCAGTTCTGTTTGGTTTCCTAACTCCAGATCTTTGTGCATTTCTTTATAAACTTGGCTTTGCCTTCTCAAGCTGCCATTTGAAATTTTCTGTTCATTAGACTCTCTATATACAAGAGCAAGTTTAAGAGTCTACTCTGCCATTCATTTTGGTCTTTCATTTCTTTCCAGTCTTTTAAATGATGTTTTACTTTCTTCTGGTATGATATTCTTCCTGTATCTTCCTGTTGTTGTTGTTGTTAGTGCCATCAAGTCAGTCCCAACCTTTAGTGACCCTATATAGAGATTGCAAGGAGCAGCTAGTGAACTTGAACTGTAATCACACAATTCTTCAGGTCTTCTGTCATTTGTGTCTGATGCACTAAATCTGCTCTTGAGATGGTATCTAAATTCAGGTGTAATTTGTTTAAGGTAATATTTCGGTTCTCATTAACTTGTTTTAAGTTTCTTCAGCTTCAGTCTCAACTTAGATATGAGAAATTGATGGGCTATTCCTCAGTCTGCTGCTGGCTTTGTTTTGGCCGATAATATTGAGCTTTTCCCCTGTCTCTTCTTACAGATGTAGTCAGTTTGATTCCTGTTCATTCCATCTGGTGAGATTCATAGTTATGGTTGCCTTCTAGTTGTTTAAGAAAGTATTTTTGATTAATAAGTTTCTGGTCTTTCATCAAG